CTCATATCGAAAGCGATGATGTTGTTTTGGTTGCTCGGTGATTCTAAAAGATACACTGGGACTAGTTTCCATATGATTTAATGCAAACATATTTTATCATAACTTTTCAACACTATTCTTTTAATTGTTGTAGCAAATTTTATGAATATATTTTAAAAATTAATTTTTTGTTTTTTTTTTTTTGTTTCTGAATTTCTGTTTATTTCACTAATAAATGCGTAATTAATTAATTTTGTATTGCAAAAAATATTTTACTAATTAACCAGCTTCGCCGTTGCCAATGAACTAATGTTTTGAGTTAAATTTTTCAAGCATGAGGCAGAAAATTGCTTAAACGAATATTTTTTAGCGGCTCTTATCTTTTTGCAAAAATGGATGAGCATTTCAAATAATATTTCTTATGAGAATTAAGAGAAAAATTTTTCAATAAACTTTTTGATAATATTTTTTTACTTTAAATACTTAGTATATACCTTCTTAGTATATGTGTAAAATTTAATGAAATCAAAAGAAAAAGCTATTCAAAATATTATAAAAATTTACAAGTATTAAATTTCTCTCTAGAGCTATTTAATTATTAATGTCTTGCAACAAATAATAATAATATAATATATACAAAATAAATATACTTATTCAAGTATTTTTTACAATACTTTGAGTGAATCATCTACTTTTACAACTTTCAAAGAGCGGTAAACTTTCGTTGATTTCTTAACGTCTACTTACAATTCAAATAAACGTTCAATGTATTATATCTATAAAGCTCTAGTTAAGCTCCAAAGTGAGACATATAGTATATAAAAGTTTTTTATTAATGTTTTTAATTATTTGAATCTATTTTTAATTTTTATAATTTCACGTGCTAGATAAATGTTAATGTATATTCGAATTAAATTAAAGAAAAAAGAATTAAAAAAATATAAGTATCTTTTTAAAAGTAATACTAATCATGCTAGTAGACTGTATTTATGACGAAAGTGCCTCTCACCTGCTTTGTTTCTGTCCGGTGACCGAAAGGTTTTCGGAGGTTCTCATTTAAAATTCGCGCGCTGTATATTTTTCGATATTTTAAGTTTATGTAGTTTGGCAGCACTGTCCTTAATTACTATGCCAAAAATGAGCGCGATCTGTCGGACAGTTCGTTTACGGCAGCTGTTGAAACCAGTTCACCTCAGTAGTGCGTTGCGAAAAAAACAATGGAAAAAAATATTGAACAAAGAGTTTGCATCAAATTTTGTTTTTCGAACGAAATTTCGTGTGCAGAATCGTTGCGAATGCTACAAAAGGCTTATGGGGAATCAGTTTTATCGAAAACTCAAGTTTATGAGTGGTACAAAGCCTTTCAGGACTGTCGTACGACCGTCGAAGACATGCCGCGTTCTGGACGACCTTCGACCTCTACCACCGACGAAAACATTGAAAAGGCAAAGGAAATCGTGTTCAAAAATCCTCATGTGAGTGTTAGAGAGATAGCACGAGAGCTAGGCATCGGTCGTGAGATGGCTCGTTTGATTTTGGTGGACAATTTGTGTATGCGACGTGTCAACGCCCGGCTTGTTCCGATTCACCTCAATTTGTTCAACATTATCAACGATTTTAAGGCCAAACATTCAATAAATACCATCGAACAGCCACCGTATTCACCTGATCTTGCACCGTGTGACTTTTTCCTGTTTCCCAACCTCAAATTACCACTCAGAGGAACGCGTTTTGAATCCATAGAAGACGTAAAACAGAATTCGCAGAGGGAACTCAAAGCCATACCGGAAAGCGCCTATAAAAAATGTTTTGATGATTGGAAGAAACGTTGGCATTTGTGTATCGCTTCTAATGGAGCATATTTTGAAGGAGATAAAATAAATATTGATGAAGATTAAGAATTTTGCGTTTTATTTATTTATGACCGGAAACTTTTCGGTCACAATGTATGCGTGGCGTCGCCTTAAATTTTTGGGGGCTTTCTTTTTTGAGGATCTTGACGAAGTTCGAGACCTCCCTCTATATAGCATCATAAGCTTTATTAAAGGTTGTAGATGGTTTTAGCCCATGGGTTTCTCAATAATACGGTATCACAATGGGTCTATAGGCCTAAGTGAATCCCCCTGGGATCGCCGGTACAACCTAACCTAACCTAAAAGTAATACAGCCGGTTGATAACATACAAAGATAATTTTTTATCTTGTTTCGGTGTTGGTTATAAACATATATTGGACGTAATTTTTTCTTTCAGAGTTGTAAAAAAACAGCGTTAAATCTCGTAGGAATAAATTGACATCACTTTTAAAATATGTTAAATGTTTTTTCTGACATATGTTTATTGTACTGTTGTATACAATATGAAATATAAAAATTGTGAACACTTAAATTTAATTAATTTAAATAAAAGAAAAAAATGAATATTAGAAGGACAATGGTAATCATTTTTATCTTATATATTTAAATTAATTTATTTATTTATACATTTGAATTTATTAGTAAATCGAATGATTGGAATTTTACAACATATTTGCAGTGAATATTCACAATAAAATGATTTTTGAATTTGGCTGCACTGAAAATTAAGTGTTAAAATTTTTTGCAACTAAAACCTAACTATGAAGTTGCGAGTATTTTTTTGCTACTCTGAAAGAAAAAATTACAGCTATTGCTTATTCTTACTCTTAGTTTTTTATTACATTTCGTTAGTTTAAATCTGAGGCTATGAGAACAAAAATGGTCTAACTCGCAACTAAAGATATTAGCAGACGAGTATTGTTTCAGTAATTTGATCTAATATTTGAAATATTTAATTCATTAATAAAGAATAATGTTATAGTTTAAGGCTAATAACATCTACAAATTGGAAATTAAAAAAGAGGTCAATGTTAGTTTAGTCTGCTGTTTTAACCACAATTATTAATAAAAATTAAGTAGAAAACGAGTTGAGAACACCGTAGTGCGGCATCAAGTAAGATTGGTGGGCGATATGTTACCCAATGCCTTTACGTGATTGCAATAATACCTTTGAATGCTTTGCAATGTTGATTACAGAAAAATGGATTAAAAAAACAGTTTATTTGAAATATTGTGATTAAAAGAATATATATTTTACATATTGTCGTGTAGTTAAAAATGTGGTCAAATTTGTGGTCGAGTATTCGCTGGCCTTCTACTATCAAGAATGAATCGCCAATGAAAATATGGACAAAAGTCAAGAAGCTGGTATTCAAAAACAATTTTATGAAACTTAGACTATTGGGTAGAAAGGTGGCATTTTAGTCCGTTTATAGTGCTATGACTGATATTTTGGGTATGAAATGAGTCACTGTACGATTAGCGACTAAATCGATGGCATGTTTGTTGAAGACCTGATTTCCAGAACTTTTACAAAAACCACCTTTATTAAGGTATCATTGGAGATGTGAATAAATTTTACGAGTACGATACTCAAATAAGTTAGCAATGTTCGTTATGGTTCATTAAAAAAAAGTCGAAAAAATCATGTTAATGTTACTCGAAAATCAAGTCAATAGTTTTATTTTCGAATACCGTGACGTAGGGAACTTCGAATTCCTATCAGAGAGACAAATGGTTAATAAGGAATACAACTTGGTAATTATGATGCACTTGTTCTAGAATGTTTATACAAACGTGCGCTGCGGTAACTTTTTGATAAAAAAGTTATTAACTAAGATCTATCAAGGGCTCACATCGTATGAAAAAAATAAATATACGATTCTCAATCAGGGCTCAAAATATGTATGAAGGATTGATTTAATTAATCAATGATTTTTTTTCGTTTTATTGAATAACTCTGAGTAAATTTTACACAAAATATAAGACACTAAATATTATCAACTACAGAGAATGAAATTTATGGCTTTTTTTAAAAGAGGGTAATATGTTTGATTATTGTTATTTTAAATTGCAACATGGGTATGCTTAATATTATTCAAATTCAATTTAAAAAAAAATTAAATTAAAATAAATTTTTTTAAATATAAACTTCGAAACTATACTTGTTCCTAACTATACTTGTTATATTGGTATTTATAGTAATGATTTGAAGGTTTTTAAAAAAGTCTATCCATAGTTGATATTTGTCTAAGCTATAAAAGTTTGAGTAGATAATATTTCCTCTCTAAATTTTTTAACCCTATTGCCGTTAAATTATCTGAATGGTATTTTTTCTTATTATGTTTTTATATTATGTAAAAAGTGGCAGATCCCTCAAAGTTTTACTTTTGAATTTTGAGCCAGTCTACCTCTTCTTTTATTCTTAATACTTTTATTTTCGTTATGTTCTTCTCTAATCAATTAAATAAAAAGAAGTTTTTTAGTTTAATTGCAAAAGTTTAAAATGGATTATCTATCACGTACCTTGTGATCATTTGAAACATAAATATTTGGGTGACATTTTGTTGATTCTTTTATCATCTCGAAATCTTGATTAGACATTTTAAGTAAATGTCGGATACATACAATTTGTGATCTATTGAGACATTATACAATAGGGACTTAGTGTTTGATGTGTTTAAAAAATCATATTTTGTACTATTTATAGCATGTGCCTATATATTTATGGGTTAAAATTCTACGGCAAGCTAAATAATTTAGTTGACAGTTGATAGTAGCTTATTAATTAGTCAATAAATCATTATACCAAGTAAATAACTCAACTAAATCATGTAAGACTCATTAATAATCCAGTTCAGTTCAAGCGGCTAAATTTGTCATGAAATATTTATGAAGTTTTGTAAAATAAATTTAAAAAAATTTTTAAACATAAAATTTCTTTACAAATATTTTATAATTTGACATTAAAAATCCACACCTCGTTTGCATAATAATTCTTTCTAATTAAAATTATAAAACAAATTTTTAATGGTTGACTTTGTTTTTAAAATATTGATCCAACTCATGGCTGCATTCCGATCGATCATCATAATCAATTCATTAAATTGCCCATATCGATGTGCTCTTTACACTTATGATTTAAGACAAAATATTTCGGTATACAGGCGAATCAATTGTCGGACATTTTGTGTCGTGGCGCAGTTGTCTCATCCATACAATCAGCGAACAATACACTCACACGTGGCGTTTCATTGCACAGTCGAAGCGGTAGTGCACATGGTAGTATACACGGTGGTAGTCATCATGGCAGTGGTCATGGTGGTCATGGTAGTGCCCATGGTTCAATGGGTTGTTTACAAGGCAGCACTGGCCATTTAATAAGTGGCCAAAATGCTAGTGGTAGTGTTGGTATGCTTCCAGGTGCAATTAATACAGGCGATTACGATGTACCACATCCACATCCATATACGCATCACTACATGCAAATAAATGCATCCACAACGCCGCCACATTCTACAATAAGTTTAATTGGCTCAAGACCTGGTTCTGCCGGTGCTTGCCCAGGTCATGATTCGGGTTCCGATTCGAGTCAGGGATGCGGTTCTATAATGGGTGGCGTTACTGGTAATAGTCACGTTAGTCATATAGCAGCGCATTTGGCTGGTGTAGGTGGTCATCATAGTGGTGGCAGCGGTTCTTTGGGACGATGTTCAAGCCGATGTCATAATACTGCTACTACCACTACTACTACAGACGATTCGGGTGGCGGTAGCGGTGGCAGTGTTTTTGGTGGCGGCTGTGGCGGCGGAATGGAAACTCATCATCGTACCATGAGTCATCATGGTAGCGCGGGTAGTGGTCTTAATGGTTGTGGCAGTGGTGGCCGTAACAGTTCATTGGGTACTATACATAATGGACATCATCATCAATATCATCATGAGTGTATACATTATGAACGTTTACCAATACCGGTTCCTATTCCAACTGTGCCAACACAACAAATGCATTCCGAAGAGGAAATCGAACCAGCGTATGCTACAGGTAAGTTCTGATAATATATTTAAGTGAATTTAAATATATTTATTAGATACATATACCCACAACTGTCTTTTTAATTTCCTTGCTTTATGTTGACTGTGTTTAAATATTAATTTCTTTTAATATTCGCTTATTTTAATAGGTATCTGTATGCGTATTTAATTGAGTAATATTAAATATAATTTTTTGTACAGTAAATAATTTTTTGTACTATATTTTTCTATATAGATAAGATAACTCATATTTAAATTATGCCAGAGTTAAATTGTTGCCTTATCAAATAAAATTGATAATAATATATATGTACATATATGTCGTCATATGGCGCATTTTAGTGTATATTGTATGGCATTAGTAGAAGATACTATTTCGTTCACAGAACCTAGGAAAAAGAAATATTCAGTATTATATTGTGTTCTTATCGAAATTTAGAAATATTGAGTGACTTCATTCGTTTTAGTTATTATATTGAGAAGTAATTATTTAGTTGATAAAAATTCTCACACTGCATAAAGTGTTGATTAAAAATATTACAAATAAAATCGGAAAATATGAAGTGTGTGTAAATAGTAAAAATTGGGTATTGCCGGTCGAATTTTATTTTGCTTAATTAAATGTTTTAAATTAAATTATACATGTTAAGTAAAAATTGTGTTATGGCGGTCTTGTATGATTAATTTTAATAAAAATACTACTTTTAAAATTTATAAATTTTTATGAAAATTGTGTATAACAAAATACAACATAAAGTGATGTAAAACAATTTAAATTCAATTTGATTAAAAAGCCTTGTGTTTATAAAAGAGTCCGATTCAAAGCAAAATAGTTTACAAATGCTATGCTTTCCAGTTAAGTTACTAACAAAAACTAATCCAAATGTTCGAGCAATTAATTCGGCTGAAAGCAATGCTCTCTACACATATGAAACAAATAACCAGCAACCAGCTTTAGAAACACTACATTGTAGTCAGGAGCATTTGAAACAAGAAGGTAGAATATATCTTATTTCCAGCATACGTTAAAAGTTTAACATGCAAATACCTATTAAGTAAATATTGACTAAATCACATTATCTGGTTAAAATTACTATTTAACTCATATCGTAAATGTAAGTTAGTTAGTTGTAACTAACTCATGAAAAAGTTATAAATGATTTTAGATATATATCAAAGCAGGGTGCTATTTTAATTATATGAAAAAAGAAGAACTATAGTCTCAGTATGAAAACTGAAAGGCATTTTATCGATCTGATCATTTTGGACACCTTTATCATAATGGAATCAAAATATTTACCATAAAACTAGGGTAGGCAGATGATTGTGCTTTCTTCGAACTACAGTTTTAGCTTAGTTCCACTTGGATACTACCATCGTATTTGAGTTCATTAAATTTGATGTGTTAAAAGTCGCTTATTTCAAATGATTTTGAGTTTACATCTCGTGTCTTTTTTATGGAAAATTATAATCAAAACAGACTACAATTGTAGCTTAGCTTCACTTGTAGACTACAATCATGTTCGAGTGCATCCATGGGTGCAAGTCTGATGGGTTAAAAAATTACTTAATTCAAACGATTTTGAGTTTATATCTAGTGTCATATTTTATGGAAAATAATAATCAAAACTAAACATTGCGATAATGTTTTGTTTGACTATATGTTTCAGGGCTGTTTAAAAATTCCTTTAATTCTAATAAGTGGCATTTACTTATGTTATATTGTGGACGTATACCATCGAATGATACTGTTCTGTAAGCCTACAAATCATAAGCATAGAACTGGCAAGTTTCTTAGATAAATGCTAGAACTTTGCAATCTGTACTTCAATTTTTGAGAAAAAGAACATTTCAGATCATGTCTGTTTTATTGGCACGTTAATGTTCCATTACTCTCCACACTACACATACAAGAACTCAAAACATGTGTTTCTGTATATAGTAGCGAGGCTATATATATTGTGTATAATATGGAGTTAAAAAACGAACAAAAATAACTGTTTTTATTTACTATAATAAATCGGTATGAGCGGCTTGCGGCACTGTTTCAGTTTATTATAATAAAGAAGCTAACGCTACAGTTAAAAGTCGGTATTATTGACAGAAATGTGAAGGATACAAAAAAATGGAGGTTTTTCGACAAATTCCGATAATTACGTCTAACTCAGAACTAAAAAATGTGTTTATTCTTTGCTATTATTCATATTTAATAAAACATTTTTCTATATTTAAACATTTTTTAATATTTAAAAAATAACGAAATGACGAAGGACTTCAGCAGGAAAAAATATTTATATATTTATATTTAAAATATTTAGATATTTTTTATTAAAAAACTCTCTCTTATAGTATATTTATGACTGTTACATTATTCCAAAACAATTGACTGATATGATAACATGTACCTATATGAGTGCTTTATCTTCAAAGGGTTTAGGAATTGCGAAAATTTTATATAAAATAAATTATTAAAAAAATTGTAATTTTTTTGTAATCAATATAATTAAGTAATTTATATAATGAAAGGGTATTACTATTAATAAATAAATATTTAAAATATTAAAAACGAATGTTTAATATTTAATTCGTAACCTTAACCTTATATATGTATTTATTTATTTATATGAATTTGTATATATACATATATATATATATATATATATATATATATGTATATATATATGAAGTTCAATAGATTATCACAACAGAATAGAATGAAGTTTTTCTCCAACATATTATTATTCAAATGTTTTGATGTTCTTAATTTTTTTCAATTACATGCTCACAACGGAATTATTTTTAAATTGATTGCCATAACAAATTGAATCGAAAGAGCGCGAATGAGAGTATTGTATATACCCGTACAATATTAATAAATAATTGAATTCAATTCGAAAAGAATAAAGTACAAATATATAATAAAACTCTTGCGGCACTTCTTCGTCACTTTTCTTTTCATATCTCCATAATAAATTCAGTTTGCTCTTATTCAGTTTGTAGAGTCATTTACCGTGGCATTGAAATAGTTAACGTATGAATAGTGATACTTTAAGACTTACGGATTATATTCAGTTTAAAATAATAGTACATATGAGCATATAGAATAAATTGTAGTGGATCATTGACGAAACGATTCAAATTTCTATGTTAAATAATAATAGAAGTTTGAAGGTTTTTAACCTTACACAGCAATTGTGTTTTGTGTTAATTATCGTGAATATGTTTAATCGAATTTAGTGTGATAACATGAATAAAACTACATTTATTCAAATGTTCAAATGTAGAAAATACATTATAAAATTTTAAAAGTTGAATAAGTTCAAGAAAGTTAAAATAGCTCATTTAAAAGAAAACTAAAAACTAAAAACTAAATTTAAAATTAAAGACCGACCCCTTTAGTGGGCCTTGTTGTCACGATGATTATGTGGAGTGGTATATGTAAAGCAGCTTCGGTTTATGGAGTATCAACCTCTCCATTCTTCATGAGCGGAGGTGTTGAGAGTAACTGATTTTTTTAAAAAATAATCAAATATATTTAAAAACTAATATGTTAGTTAATTTTCAAAGTGAATTTTTTAATATGCACTTGTTTTAGTTCTCAACCTCTAAATGGTTTAAATATATTATACGAATTTATTCTATATCGAAATTACATTTGTTGTGTTAAAAATTAGCTAACGTAAAACCTTTTAAAATTAATTAAGTTCATTTTATTTTAAGTGCATTTACATTTTTTAATACATAATTATTCAGTTTAATAAACAATATTGGGAGTAAGTACTCCATTCTTATTTATAGATATTCTAAAAAAATGTCTGATGTGTAAAGTTATGTTATAGTTATATAGTTGGATATAGTTATGGACCAACTGATCAAAGCATCGCAATCATAATAGATCTTTTGTGCTATTTAATAACGCTGTTATAAATTTAAAGTTTAATTATAATATATAATGCTATTAATACCATTTAAATAAAACAGTCTAAGTAAATCCTTAAATATTTAAAATCATTGAAGAAAGCATAATAAAAATAAAAACTTTATAAGATTTTATTATAAAATATATTAAAATATTATTTTATAGTTTTTATTTTTACAGAAGTTTCGAACAGTAGTGAGCCACAACAACAAAAATTATTTTTATATTATTTTATTTAATTGAATTGTTGGCTTTATTTTTAGTTTATTTTATATATGTAGTTTATTTCTATATAAAAATGGGTCTTGAAGAAGTCGTCAATAACTTCAAAACGTCGTTATATTTTTATATAGAAATAAACTATATGAAATAAATTAGAAATAGAAATTATAAAAAAGTTTATTAATTAAATTTTAAAAGTTTTTTAAAAACTGAGCAAATTTAGTATAGTTTCTCTTTAAAGATAAAGTGGGGTTTTTTACAACGATATAAGGGACAACATTTCAATATATAAAATTAAAATTTTTTATATTTTTGTTTCTTAGTAATAAAAACGTTTTAACATCAGATTGAAATATCCCTACTGAATCAGTGTATCAGAATTATTATCTAACAAAAATCAATCTTTCATTTTTTTCATATCTAATGGGACTAATTACACTAATAAATTGTTCCGTTGTTTTATTGTTGTTAAATACATTTTCTACTTATCTTTAGTCTTCTGAGAAGGTCTATGTTGGTAGTTTTATCTTTATATGATATAATAAAAATTCTTCTATAGATCCACATTTCGAAAATCTCTAAGTTATGTATGTATGCAACTTTTAGCGATAAGTTGTTAGCCCTATAAAAAAAGCACCAACCAAATATAATGCATCTAAAAAAGCTGTCTTAGTTGTAGTTTGGGTTGATGAGTAAACTTACTTAAATGTTTTGAAAAAAACATTTGGTTAATAAAATGAACATTTTTTTAAATAAATATATATATAAATACATGCATAAGTTATTTATATATTTCTATTTTATATTTTTCAAATTTACCTTTTTTTTCATTAAATTTAAATAGATAACTGACATCGTTTTATTTACGTAATGTATATACATTATATTTTCTATTATATATCAAAGTATAAAGCAAAATTCGTCATATTTTTTGTTATGTACAATATTTGTATTGGAAGTATTTTTTTACAATTACTTTGATTACTTACCTGATAAAAATGAATTAAAGAACATAAGGAGTAGGTTTACAAAAATGGCCCTCAACAAATTATTTATCAAAATCGCTAAAATGTGGACGAGATAGGGAACCACCCATATTCAATTGCAAAAAATTATTAGTAATGCTCACATACGAAAGTGAATTAAAGCTAAAGTAAATATTAGATTGTTTCAACATTTTCAAATGAACAAAAACAAAAAAAAAACAAAGAAGTGAACAAACATAAACTATTATTAACGAAATTGCAGACTTAATATAATAATATACAATTATAATATTTAGTTTCGTTTTAAAATTCAGTGAGCAAATTAACAAAATATTTTACTATCCATATAAAAAGGACCAAATTGTGCTAAAAACGCAGTGTATCTACAGTTTAACATATATGTGGCTTAGCAAGAATGCTTTTGAAAGTAAAAAACTTTAAATATATATATAAATATATATAAAATGTCAAATAGTGTTTAATGTGAAATTATATATATCAGTTGGTATATAACCAACTAACTTATAATATTGTATTTGTTGTAAATATGTTATATGAGTTTATTAAACAATAAATTAAATTACTATCTCTGATTGTGAATCATACTTTTTAATATGCAAAAATTCATATTATTTAGTTTTATTTATAACCTTTTAAATAAAAAAAAACAAAATAAAATATTAAATCAAATCAAAAAGTAATAGTAATAGTAATAAGCTGCCAATTAAAAATTGAATGTGAAGTAATGAATATATATATAGAATATGTCTACAATACAGAGTAAATATACTATTTGATATCAGTTCGAATCAACCAATCAAAATATAAACATACAAATATATTTTGTATGTTAATATTTATGAAATCAACAAAAAATGACTTATTAAGAATAATAAATAAATGTATAGAGACAGACAGAATTTGAAATATGAAAATAAAAATCGATACCATTGGAGGATTGTTAAGGTCATAAATTAATTATTTCAAATACCTTGTACTTTTGTAACTGCAATATGAACTTTAATATTATATTAACACAAAATATTTTATAAATATAGAATATGTCCGATATCCCAGTGTTAGATCCGTCGACACTGGCGTTATACGCTGACGATACGCTATACTCAGTTAAATGTGTTCTTAATATAACCAACACACTTCAAGTGCATACGAATAAACCTCATCCTGGAGTATTTCCCGAAATGGAAAATAAAAATCAATAATGAAGAAACTAAGGCTTTGTTCATTACGCGTAAGAGGAGACAGAACCCGTTGAGAGTGAGAGTGGGGGAGAAATATCTAGGCATCTAGGTGGTCAAATGATTCAGATAGGTTAAACATGTTCAACTGAAAAGAATTAGCTGTGCCAAAATTTTTCATCACCTCCAACCGCTATTCTAAAATGAAAATCTCATTGCTAAGAACAGGAAGCTGATATATAACTAAATAATTCAACCGTCACTTCTATATGGGTGTGTAGCGTTCATCAAGGCCTCAAACGCTACTATTCGCCAGCTAGAAATTGTACAAAGCCAGGTTCTGAGAGGACTTTTCAAGGTGCAATGGTATATTAGGACAAATGACATCCTCAGGTATCTCAAGATTGATCCGATCAAAAAATATATAAAAGATAGAGGCATGAAATTATTTACGAAAACTGACAGACTTTCGAGTCATCTCCGTTATCGAAACTTAGAATGGTTACAGGCTCATCGGGGCGGTATGCAGATCTGAGGTCAGTTATTGCTTAATCTGATGAAGTGATAAATAATAATCCAGTTAAGGTGTAGAGAGGTTTATGATGAAACCTCGCAGAGAGTAAAAGTGCTCAAGTGCACTGACTCAACTTGCCTCAACATAAAATAAGATATATGACTTCCAGTATTACAAGCTGCAGAAATCTTTGACTATATTAATATTCAGTTATCCGTAATTTAATAATATTTTTAAAAGTTAATCATTTTTGCCGAATGACGTTTTTTATGACGGCAAAGAAGCTATTTTTAAAAGTTAGAAGGACTCGAATAGTAAAGAAAAGAGAAGAATAAAAATTTGGTTAATAAAGAAATTCGAAACAGTGTTGTATGGTCAATCAAATTTCAATAAATTAACCAAATTTTTATTCTTGTCTTTTCTTTACTATTCGAATCCTTTTAAATCTTTGATTATTATTTATTTAAATAATTATTATTTATTTATTTGTATATAAAACAACTCTGTTAAGGTTAAATACGTTTCTATTCTTACATAAAATAAATACTTTATTATTATAGAAATATATATGTTATAAATTTTATGTTTATCAATTTTTAATTTGAAAGCAAAATTGCTCATTATTAATTACTGGATGATTAATTAAGAAGATATGGGTGATTATAAATAAAATTTTTTTCTTAAAATTTCCAAATTTATTTAAAACAGATATTTACTTTGATTTAGTTTATTTATTCTGATAAAATTTCAGCTTTAGTTCAAAGTACGTTTTTTATAATATCTAATATGATTTCATAATATTAATAATTCTACAAATAATATGTTAAAGGTTTATTAGTAAATTTGAAATGTGTTTTTTTTTGTGTTTATACTCATATATTGTAGTTTATTAAATAAAATCTATAATAAGCTAAAAAGTTCTTTGAAAAATTCTAATAATTTATTTTAAATTTTTAGTATTTCCAAATGTTCCTGCAGCACCTGGAATGTCATGTGATGGAGAAGATCGTAAGTAAAATTATTCTATTAAAATTTTATACAGTTAACTGTTAGGTTATTGTATAGTTATGGAATATTTTTTGTAAATAATGAAAATATATTTTAAATTATTTTGTATCGGCGGAGATGATGGCATTTAATTCTGCCAGTATGAGCTAATTTCAATTAAAGTACTAAAGAATAATTCCACAGGTTTAAACTGGTTTGTATTAATTGCTATGTTCTCACATTTAGGTAAATTTTTTGGTTTGATATATTCTTCCACTCTCTTGTGACTGTTAACAAGGGGATTAAACCAATATATACAAAAACATTTTCTTCGTTGTTTTTTCGATTTGTGTTTATATAAGCAAACATAATTAAGCGCAGTTCATGTGCAGAGCTTTGCAAATGCCAAAATTAATCTAGTGTGGCTAGATTAACCCACCAAGTTTAATTTCAAATTCTTAAGATCAGATATATTTCATATTTATTAATTTACCAACATTATTTTATAGAATTCTATCCCATATTCGGGAAATCGATCCTTATATGCCATGACTATGAGTTTAAATTAATCACAAATGTGTTTTACTTCTACAGGCAGTATTTATAGGCGAGGAGCACGTCGATGGCGTAAGCTATATCGCGTCAATGGGCATATATTTCAAGCTAAACGATTCAATAGAGTAAGTTATTTATATCTAACATATATATTATAAATAAAGTTTAATTTGATTTGATTTTTATTTTTTTAGCGTGCCTTTTGCGCATATTGTCAAGATCGTATATGGGGATTGGGGCGTCAAGGTTTCAAATGCATTCAATGCAAGTTGTTGGTGCATAAAAAATGTCACAAACTTGTACAAAAACATTGTACTAACGAGCATGTAGAGCCGTTGGTTAAGGAGCGAGATGATGCATTTGCTGAACAACTTCCAGAAGTTTTGCCTCCATTACCTGATTATACGCATTCGCGTGAATCGTGTGATCCTTTGGCTGTACTTGAAAATGCACAAATGCATGAAGCATCACAACACCATGATAAACAGCAACATCAAAATGTCGAAGAACAACTTGAGCCGGGTGTACAGCGAATATACTCTCTGAATGATTTTGACTTAATACGTGTAATTGGTCGCGGTAGTTATGCTAAAGTTTTAATGGTTGAACTAAAGAGAACCCGACGCATTTATGCAATGAAAGTAATTAAGAAATCTTTAGTTACTGATGATGAAGATATCGATTGGGTTCAAACGGAGAAACATGTTTTCGAAACAGCTTCAAATCATCCATTTCTTGTTGGTTTGCATTCTTGTTTCCAAACACCTTCACGTTTGTTCTTTGTTATTGAGTTTGTGCGTGGCGGTGATCTTATGTTCCATATGCAAAGACAACGTCGTCTACCAGAAGAGCACGCACGCTTTTATGCTGCTGAAATTAGTTTAGCATTAAACTTTTTGCATGAGAAAGGAATTATTTATCGTGATTTAAAATTGGATAATGTATTGCTCGATCACGAGGGTCATATTAAATTGACCGATTATGGTATGTGTAAGGAGGGTATACGTCCAGGTGATACAACTTCAACTTTCTGCGGTACACCAAATTATATTGCACCGGAGATTTTACGAGGTGAAGATTATGGTTTCTCAGTTGATTGGTGGGCTTTGGGTGTTTTATTATATGAAATGTTAGCTGGACGCAGTCCGTTTGATATAGCTGGTGCATCCGAAAATCCAGATCAAGTAAGTTTGTTTTAAAAATGATTTGTGTATGTACTGTAATAAAATTTTTATTATTATTTTAAAGAATACAGAGGATTATCTTTTCCAAGTAATTCTTGAAAAAACTATACGTATACCACGTTCGTTGAGTGTTAAAGCAGCTTCGGTGCTTAAAGGTTTCCTTAATAAAAATCCAGCTGATCGTTTAGGTTGTCATTGCGATTCAGCATTTTTGGATATTGTAAATCATCCATTCTTTAAAAGTATTGACTGGGAAATGGTAAGTTTTTTAGGATGAGATAATATTAAATATCAAATAATGTTTCATTTGTATTTTGTGAAACAAATAATTTTGCACGTGTGAATTTTTGATGATTATAAAACTAAAAAAAACGAATGATATATAAAAAATTATTATTTTTCTTTTTGAATAAAGGTAAAATATGTTAAAGTATTTTTAATATAAGATCAAATATTTGTATGTAACATACATTTGCTATTATGGGTCTTATTACATTTTTTTTACCTTTGGTTGTTAATAAAATATAATTTTTTTTTCGTTGAAATTATTTAATTAAATAATGCATAATTAAGATTGCACAAAAGGAAGTTCAACCGCCTTATATACCAACTTTTGATCCTGGCGATCCATTTATGACCACAAATTTTGACGCTCAATTTACCAGAGAACCGGCTGAATTGACGCCAGATGATCCGTAAGTGCAGTACCATGTTGCTGTTTGTGTTCTTTCAGTATATTTTTTATTAATGTTAATATATTGCCTTGAATGAGTCTTGCATTTCACTTAAATTTATTTATATTATAATAATTGATTTATTAATATTGATTAAAACCTTATGTATTTTATAATTTAAAATTTTTATGTAAATTTATTTTAAAGTTCTATATTCAGAGGATAATAATAGTTTTTGAAAAAGTTAACTTTATAGCTCTTTCCAATAGAACATATACTTCCATTTAATGGAACTTGTTGTAAGTATCAAAAACAATTTTTATTTGAAATAGTCATGTATATTGAGAGAGGATGGTTTACGTACATAATGTATGTAATGAAATCATTATGTGTGAAAGTCTGATTTTATTTATATTATAGATAGATTGCTTTTTCCCATACTAACGGAATTTCGATAAATGTGCATGCAAACATATTTAATTTTTATAAACTCAAATTAGTATTAATAAATATTTTATGTTATATGTTACGCCTGGCGATCCAGCGGCAGGATCGCTTGTAAGTTTTTCAACGTCAAAATCAAAGTAAAACATTTTTCACAGCGTTTCCTTATACACTCTGTACATAAATAAATTTTGAGTTTCCTTTTTAAAGTTTTATGTTTAATCATCATTATTTCACAATTACGTGCAAAATTTAATTTTTGATAAATAAAAGAAAATTTTATGTTTAATTGATTCCTCCTCTTCTTTGGTTTTTCATAATCTGCATCAACATTTCTATCAAAATCATTTTGCTGCATTTATCAAAAGCTTGAACGCAAACAAGTGTCGCCACCATTTAAACCACGGTTAGACTCAGATCGGGATTTGGCAAATTTCCCGCCAGAATTTACGGAAGAGGCCGTACAGTTGACACCCGATGATGAGTAAGTAGAATTATTTTTGCACACTATCATATAAAAATATTTAAAAATTTAAAGTTTTCTTTGAGTATACTTAAGCTTTTTTATATTTAATAAAATATATAATACATTTTTTGCTCTTAGTTTAATATTAAACCTTTGGAAATATATATGTATAATTATAAATATATATGAAATACTTTTAATAATATAATAGCTAAATGAATGTGTTTATACTCGTATATACTAATCTCTTTAATATTTATATTATATTTTTTCAGTCATGTTATTGATAATATTGATCAATCGGAGTTCGAAGGATTCGAATATGTGAACCCGTTACTTATGTCTTTGGAAGACTGTGTCTGACACCACGAGTCCTGTGACTTACATCCCTATAATATGCGGGTAAATTAATGTTATATTGTAAATTTAAAATTAAAAAATATTAATTTATATACATATTGTATTTATTATAAAATTTAATATAAAAGTGAAATTAATTCTTTAATTCATCCACTTCCATTGGTAGTATTGAGTGGCTTCATAATGTTTGTAAGTCCTCTCACCGAAGATACGGACATCCTCTACTGTCCTTCGCATAGGCGGGCGAAGTTACTGTCACCATCACTGTTGGTAATTGTCCAAGCTTCTGTAGCCTACATCAGAAGAGGCATCCTAAGAGCTTTGAAAATTTTGTTTTTTTTTGTCGAGAAAGAGCTGCATTTCTCAATTACCTATTTAGCCCGAAGCAATATCTATTGACAAGAGTTATTCTTCGTTAATTCTTTAGGCTGACGTTATTTTAAATGTTTACACTGGTTCTGAAATAAAAAAATTCTTTCACAACTTCGAACTTGTTGTTCTCTATCATGACATTGGTCATGTTTTGTTTAGCACGTTTAGGAAATTTGTTTATTGACAGAAAGTGTTGTGTTTTTTCCTTATTTCCCACAAAAAACCAACCAATTTCATTTGATTAATTAAGAAAAGTATTATGTAGGTATGAATTTATGGCTCTGGATGTTTCACATAGAGATAATTAAAAAGTGTTAAGCGTATTTTTGTTTTGGATATCCTGCTATTTGCTTTTTTAGTAGTTTTTACTTTGGCATCATCCATACCAATTGATAGGTCTAAGAAAGTCAAAGTTGTGTGTGTCTCAATTATGTTTTGGGCAACATAAGTATATGTTAACAGTGCAATTAACTCCATTGCTCCATTAACTCTTTAATCTAAAGCTATCAAATCCTTATGCTAAAAGTTGTTGAACCAACAACTCTAAAAGAGAATCGTAAGAAGGTGCAGTTCTTCTTCTGCTTAATTGTAAGAAGACAAACCAATTCAACCGTTGTTTTAAAGCATAAGGTTTCTCTAAATTTATATGTTTAAATTTTTTGAAATTTCAAATAAAATCATTTGGGAACGGTTCGAACAGTAATGAAGATGTAGCAACAAAAATTTGATTAGTTTATTGATATTAAATAAATCATTGCCATGTTTTGAGTATTGCCAAATACTTATCGTCAGTGATCTTAAGAAATATACGAATTTCTATTTAATTAGTTTATAGTCCGTATATAATTTGTTGCAAGTATCAGACTTAGAATTCGTGCCTATCAAGCTTAGAACGCACATTTGACAAAAAATAATTAACATTATACATTGTTTTCTGTGAGTTGTAGCAATGCTCACAGGTCGATAATTAATTTTACTTATAAAATACTATTATTAATTATTATTAATAACGTTTTCTTTTTGTTTTTTTAGTTATATGGGGAGGATTCCAGTGACTATGATTCCGTTGCTGATGACTTAAGTATTTTACATTTGCATTCGGCTCCAACAGCGACTTCAGCAACAATAACCAACAATAATCTTACAAATATTAATAATCATAATAATTCACATCATAATGGTAATAATAATCATAATAATCAAAATAATTCAAATAATAATAAAAGTCTACTTCAGCACATGTTTTGCCTTCCATTAAATTAATTAAAACAAAATAATTACTCAAACGCCAAAACAAAGGAGATGAGTTTTTGTTAAAATATTTTCAAAAAAAAAAAATACATTTTTAATTTAAGTAAGGTGCACTTTCTTATAACAATATATACTATAAAAAAAACAAAAAAAAAACAAATTTTCCATGCAAAGCAATAACTGCTACGTCAATATGATGTTAATATTTTACAAAAGTATTTGCGGTCACAAAAAAAAACTTTTATTGTAATAATATTAAAATATATTAAATTTTCTTATATATACAATAGAAAAAAGAAACCAAAACAAAAAAGTTATAAACTATATTATTCTTAAACTTAAACTCAAAGAATATATTGTTTCGATACAGCAATACATTCCATTAGAGAATAACGTTAAATGCATGAAGTTTTCTTTTACTAAAATATTGTAGAAAAAATAATAACACAAATTATTTAAATAAATGCAGCGAACTTTGATACATAAAATATATATTAATATTTAAGAATAAAGTAACGAAGATGAGATTTTTAATCAATTAAGTGTTATATACACACAGATCGTGAGTCGCTTTTAAATAACTACTAAATCATTATTATTACGAGAAAATCAACTTAAATATCTTATAAATCATAGAGACGAACAGCAAAACTTTAACTAAAACACATTCCATGGTACTTTAATCCATAAAAATCATAAATATGTTTAAGATAAGATTTTATATATAGAGTATTTTTTTTTGTTTTGTTTTAGATACTTTTTTATTTATTATGCATTTAATTTTAATATTTCAGTAATTGTTAATATTCAGTTTATTATTTTTAAACTATTTTTTTTAGTATATGTGGTGAAATTAAAACTGTGTTTTAAATTTCTAATAAACTACTAAAAACTTAAAAATTGAACATTATTTTTTAAACTTTTCATATTTATGAAGGATTTATTTTTACTTGATGTACTATTTATTAATAAAATTTTTTTTTTTAAATTTAATATTTTTCTTTACATAAATTAAATTTTAAAAATACATATATGCATTGTATAATGACTAGAAATAAAGCTAAGACATAAACAATACAATATATTGTATATTTTATTAAGTGTGGGTTATAGAACCTATTATTTACTAATAAAGTTAATATCAATTACAAATAGTCAAATATTAAATAACTTCATTTTATCAGTTATTTAATTTTGAATGAACTATTTATAAGGCTAAGATACGATATGAGTCAAAAGGCCAGTAAAAATGAAACTAATTTATGAAGATCATTTTAGTATATATTATACATATAGTTTCATATATTAGAGAAAAGAAAAAGAGAAAAGTCATTTTGTTTCCAAACTAACGGAAAGTTTTATTTTTAAACTTAACTTTTCATATAAAATAATTAAAATCTTGAAAACATCTTCAATTCGTTTTTAAATAATAGTAATAATAATAATAATAAGAGTATAACAGTTTATTTTATAAGAGAAGAGAGAGATTTATGAGTCAAATTATAAATACTAGAACTTGTCTTGACTGATTAAATAAATGGCCACGTAGAACAAAAATATCACTATATACTATGATTATTTTTTTAGTACACCATCACGATCAACGTTGTACTGTTGTGGTTAGGTTTGCACGCTATATACGAGTACATATTAAAATGTGAAAATTCAAAAGCAATAAAATACTTTCTTACAATAAAACATAAGCGAAATAAATAGTTAAAAACAAACAATTTAATCCTGGGTGATATACCACAATCTTTACTAGAAAATAAATTCGTTGTTGAAACTTCTTAATTATTTTTTTCTTTTATATATTAACAAAATGGAAATTTTTTATTATGATTTTCAAATTTTTAAATTTAATAGATTAAACTAATTTAATAAGTAATTATTGACATATTTATATTAAAATTAAAGTTGAACACAAACTAGTGAATTGAAAATTAAATTTAAAAAAGATATATCAATCAGTTTAAAATTAATTTCGAAATAACTAAACTTAATATTTAATAAATTATGCAAACGTAATGAAATTTCACATTATTATTTATATAAATTAAAATAATTATACAATATGATTTGAAATAAATGCCAGTTAAATAAAATTCTTTTTAACTTTACAACATTTAACAAAATTACTATACACAAAAATATTTATGTTTTTCTATTAAATATAAATTTTTTTTTTATTTTTGAATAAATTACAAAATATTTTTTTTCAATATATGTATTAAATATATATTTTATTTTTTAATTACTTACAAAATGAAGTTAACTTATACAATTTTATTTGAAAATCTTAAATTAATTTTAGTCAAAATTTTAATAATTATAATATTTGTTGAAATGATAGGATTGTTAAAATGTAAAATAAATTCTAAATTATACACTATATTACTTTAAAATATATATAAATAAATATATACAATGCAATTATAAATTTTAACTAATAAATGTGTTTTAATAATTATTATTTATTATTAATTAATGTACTTTTAAACAAGTCCAAGTAATCAAGTATCACAACATCACGCTATTTTCTTCTTCTATATTATTTTTATATTTGTTAACGAATATTAATATTTTTAAATTATTTTCTATTCTATTTATAATAACAAATTTTAGTAATTATATAAAAAAAAATATTAACTTTTTCTTAAATTTCTATAATTTAATATTATACAAAAATAATTATAAAATTTCGTATATCAGAATATACTGTTGACAATTTTTGAATCTATGTCATTCTGTATTTCATATCTTCGTTATATTACCAATATGAGTCCAATATTTGATGAAGTCATAACTCTATGTTTTCGTACAATTTTACTTTTCAAATAAGTTGTAGCAGTCGATATTTTTGATTACTTATAATTAAAAGCGAGGTAAAATGTCTTACGATATTTGATAGTTAAAAGAACTTCTTAGTTTTTATACTATCTACGTAAGATATTTTTATGAATGGTTTTATCAACACATGGTGTTTTTTAGGTTTCTGCTAGAAATCCATATTTTGAAAACTTTCAGGCTATTTATATAAGATATCTTTATCTCTAGCTAAATATACGATATTTGCTAGATTGCAGGCACCTGCACTCCATATTTAAGGAAATGTATATCTTTAAAATTTGCTACAATTCGAATTAAAGCAGCTATTTGAAAATGATACTAGTATTTATTTTGAGAGAATGACAGCGCTAAATGGATTCATCGGTAAGTGGATGCATTAGAAGATGATCTGGAAATTACGAACATGCGAAATTGTGTAATGTAGGCTACTATATGTCCATACAGAAGAAACACTGTAAAAGCTAAGAATGACGATTATAATATTATTATTAATCTACATGTGATATTGTTAATTATTATGTTGATATCACTAATAAGTATTGCGAGGAACTGTTGTTCATTCTTGCTTTAACATATAAAAATAATTTTATTATTATAAACTAAATTTTTTATTCACATCCATATCCATAGTAGAAATATTGCAATCATATATATCAATCATCCGCCACAAATCATTACATATATATTGTAAATTTAAATGTGCACCATTTTTATTTGGTTCCTCATTTTTGTAAATGAATTTCACGCTTGAACTTTTCCAATTATCGACCAACTGTATAATTTCTATTTCACATTCAATTTGATTACCATAATGACAAATACCTTCATAAGGAGGTGTCTCAAATATAACTTCATTATCTGTTATTGATTTAATAATGCCATAAGACTCCCAAATAATGTCATTTTGTTGTGTTGCAAAAAGATGTACATTAATATCGCTATATTGATTTTCAGCATTTTCTAGTATCAGTCTTACTTCAGTACCACCATTTATATCACCTTCGCTATGATTAATATGTTTTATTTTTAATTCCTTATCAACAATTGGATTGGAAAATATTGGTCCAGCAATTCGAAAATACTTATCCGAAAGTTTGACATAGGCGGTAAAACATATATAATGCTATATAGTTAAGAATTCAAAAAAAAATTAATTAATTAAAAATATATTTAAATATATATTACTTATTTAATATTTATTATTTGTTTATTTTTATTTATTATTAATTTTTACATGAATATTCAGTATATTACAATTTTTTAAATAGATAAATAAAGAAAATAGGTTACGACATTATGTTTTATATAATTATTTATTGACTTAAATGGTGTACTTGAACTGATATGTTGTACGCTAGACAAGTAACTACAGATCTTAAGAGTACATATAGCCAAAATGAAAATCCTACGCGTTTTTATTATAAAAACATGAATGGATAAAATCAGATAGACTACGAAAGTTACAGATCAGATAGGTAGAGTATCAAACTTGCACAGTTTACTGAAAAGGTAGAAGAAAATAGATTAGAGTGGTAGGGCCACATAATGAGAAGAAACAGACTACATATTGTAAGAACAACTGATAGTACTCATTAAGGTACCGCCACAAATAAAACCCCACCACCATGGAATAAACACTGTTTTGTAAAAAAAGTACGACAACAAAGTTGAGCTTTAGGACAAGGAGAGATAAGAATCTATCGCGTAGAGATATGACAAAGAAAGTGAGAGAGATTTTATATCTTATTTTAAAATTTTCTATTAAATTATTATTTTATCAAAAATTATTATCTTATATTTTAATTCAATTTTAAGGAGAACTCATTAAAGAAAGTGTTAAAAATAATAGAGGTAATTGGGTTATATTTAAACACATTAATTTATATTTAATGCAAAAAAATTACTTATATATATAAATTTTAGTTCAAGCAAAATATCGTAAGTAGCTACGTAGGTAGTTTGGAGTGGTGGCCTTGTATCCAACAAAGCCCACTTGAACTCAAATAATAGCCTATTGAAAATTAGATTGATAAAATTTATAAGATATTTTAGATTAGGTAAGGTAATACCGGCGATCCCAAGCGGATCCACTTAGGTCCATAGGCCCATTGTGCTACTGTATTACTGAAAACCCAAGGGCTGATATTTTACTTTACGAAAAATTGTGTAAAACAAAGTCTTGGAACACTGACCTACAAAGTAGAATTTTCAACAGCGATTAAAAAGAAAATGACCATCACGCAGAAAATAAATATATGGGATGAATAATGACTTATCGGGAATAGGTGTCACTTATTGGAAAAAAAACAGAAATAGGCAAAAAAGGGATGCTATTATTTGACAGGTGTGGGTTCTTTAACAACTGTTATACCAGGAATAATGGTAATGATGATGTATATTAATGGAAAAAATTAATAATATATCATTAATAATATTTAAAGAATATTATATCCTTACTCTGTTCACAGTATTTTTGGAACGTTGATTTGATGTTTCAGCACATATTTTATTAACTTTATTTTTAATATTTTCCTTTTCATTAAATACCAAATCTCTTTCAACCCGTAATTTTGTATGTTCTTCATACTTTTTAATAAGTGTATCGCGTCTCTCTTTCTGAATGGTATTCAATATATAACAATTATTTAATACATATGAAAATTCATCAAGATTAAGATTCGTCTTTTCCATTGGTTTGAAAATTGGTTTATAATTAATATCATTTTGAACAAGTAAATGTGGAGATAATTTAATGTTATCCTCTTTAGAGTTCGTAGTACATAAACTAACTTCGATATAACATTCACTATTGCCTGGTGCTATTAATTTAACAGTCGGATAGGTTCGACATTCTCTATTGGAATGTTCACCAAGTAAAGTACGATTGTTCCGACCAACCTCGGATTTATAACTTGCAGAATAACTACGTTTTGGTTGCTCTTCAATATAAAATTTGATTCCCGGTTCAATATCTTTTACCCAATCAAGCAATTGTTCAAGACTTATTTGCTCCTCCATTTGTCCCATTTTAAAGTGTTCAAATAGTTTAGTTTGTTTAAAAAAAATTTTTTTTTTTGTAGAAATTCACTTATATTAGTTTTTTATTATTTAAATTAGTCATTCATATCAATAATAATATGGGGATTGCCCTATCTTGTGAGCACCGAATGAAAGTATTGTGAGCACCGAATGAAAGTATTATCGTTGCACTCTCGTAGTTAAAGACGAGCAAATAAAAAAGTATCTTTCACACAATAAGCAATATTAGCACAATGTATATTTTATTTATTTTATTTCATTTATTTTATTTTTCATTAATTGAAGTTAAGATTTATATTTCAATAGTTTAAGCAAAAACTGTACTGAAAAACTGAACTTCTTTCTGTAAATAATATTACTTAAGTGAAATATATTTTGGTTTTGAACTTACAAAGTCTGCTATGGTTTGTGGATTTTCAATGCTCTTCAAATAGAATTCTCTATCCGTGATAAGAATATACATATATTATTGAAATAATTCATACAACTCGAAAATTCTAGTTGCAATCAATGAGAGTACGACAATAATATTTATTATATCTGTGTAAGTATTGGTAAAAGCTTGAGATCTTTTGAGTAAAAACAAATTTTTATAATTTTAAAGAAAACTTTTATAAAGAGTATCCATTTAATAAGAGGTTCTGTATAGTTTGTTCCAACAAAAATAATATGCAGAGCATTTAAGAGTAATTGTTTTAATTAATATATTTTAATATATTTTTTATACGCTTACAGTGTTTCTTTAGATATTTTGAATATAAAAGAAATATTTTGTTTTTATTTTAATTTGGAAATACTAAAAAATAGGTTTTACAAATAATTTCAATTACATGTATTATTATAATAATAAAAATTACAAATATAATTGCACTGTAATATTTAGTAGTAAATAAATAAATTGTAAATACATCTGTACTAAGGACGTGTGCGAGTTAGGCTAAGTTGATGCTAAACTAAATGCGAAATTTTTTGGGATTTTTTGCACTGCACACATTTAGCCATTTATCAACACGTATCGACACATCATTATATTATCGGCACAACTTAGAATTTCCCTCATTTGCAACGCTACTTAGCCTAACTCGCACACGTCCTAAGTAATACAATAATATTGAGTGCTATAGACTATTGATCCTACATGCTAATACAACATTTTTAAGTCCAGTTCTTTTTGAGTTTATTGAGTTCCTCTCAACTCAATAAAATAAATTCAATAAAGTTTAAAAATAATAAACTGTGTGATTATTTTAATATGCTTTATGAAACTCTGAAATGTATAATAAATTGTATAAGTGCATAGGTACATTATATAGGCTACAGAAGAGGTATATAATTACTTAAAAATAGTTTCTGCTAATTTTTTAATAAGTGAGGTCTCAGTAGACAAACTACAAGCTATGGATCCATAACTGTTAAATTTAATTCATGGACCATTTTTAGTCATCTCGCGGACGACCTGTGGATCACAGATAACTAGTTCAGAACCACTGGTCTGCATAGAGAAACATTTTCAGTGCGGAAAAAATTCGTTTAACATGCTGACATATTCTGATTAATAATGTAGGTTTTATATAAAGTATTAATTATTTCAATTACTTAGATTAGTTTTGATGTATTGTGCTACATCACTAAAATTTTAGGATTTGAATTTAATAGTTTTCCTGCGATTAAGACCACTGTTCGAGCAGATATTATCCTTAATGATTCTAAAAAAGGCGGTCTTTGCTAGAGAATGAATATGAATATGAAAAGATATAAGTTTTATAAAATGGATGCTATTGGACTTGTTTGTATGTCTCATGTTTGTTAGTTTTTGTAAAGCACAAATATACAAAAGCATTTATCGCTCCCTGGAGATAACACTACTTAGGTATGAAGTGAAGTTGGTAACGTTCGCAACACTTCGATCGTCAATTGTAGAGGTACTGCTATTGTTAGTTTCAACGTGCATGGCCTCAGCTATATTTATATTTATTTGTAGACCAGCTTTAGCTGACTCCGGTTTTGGCTGTCTGTGGGGAGCTTAAACAAATGATGTGAGATTTTTTTATGATGGGGCAATACAGTAAGCTTGTTTATAAAACTTTCGTTTATACGTTGACTGGTATATTTACTGCATTAACTGAAAGATGCTACTATCAAAAGAAAACCCGAATAATGCAGTTTCAAGTTTTTGGTGCAAGAGTGAGAAAAAGATCAAAAAAAAAAAAAATTTATTGATACCGTTGATATTAAAAATATCAATTTACGAACCAATCAAAGAATAGTTGATAAATGGGGTTTCTAAGAACAAATATCAAAGCACAAATTGTCTCACTTAGAGTTGTAATGCTAAGGATATATATGGATTATGAATCAAATAAGTTAAAGTGTAAAAAATGGTTGTTTTGTTTTCAAATTTAGCTATTGTATATTATATATCTAACTTTTAAAAATATATCTGTCCTTTGAGTTATAGAACGATTTTTCGATGTTTTTCAAATATTATAAGGTGTTAGTCCCGCATAATTTTTATAATTTTTTGCATTTGGCAAATGAATATTTATTAAATTTTCCATATTTTTTAATTGTTTATATTTAGCTAAATGTAATATTGTACTTCCATTACCTAATGTTTTTACTGTACAGACATTAATATCATTCATTTTACAGAATTTTATAATACTTATAAGAAGTTCTTTGTTTTCATGTAAAACTGCCAAATGTAGTATCGTATAGCCTTGTCTATTGTAAGTTCTGATGAGTTTTTTTAAATCGTCGGTAAGATTTAATTTACGATAAATTTTAAAAATTGGAATAAATTTTTTTATACTACAAATATGTCTCTTAATTATGGCTAGGTGTAAAGGAGTATTGAATCGGTTATCCTGTGCACATATATTACAACCAGATTTAATCAAAGGTATAATTATACTAGCTAAATTTAATTCACAGACATAATGTAAAACAGAAGCGGAGTGTATTCTTGATGCCAAAATTACAGCTCTCTTAATAGTATTTGTTGATCTTAGATGTCTCGTTTCTTTTAAACTGCATTTTGTATTTCTCATTAATGGCAATTCTTTATTATAATCTGCAATAGAAAAATATATAATATATTAATTATAACTGTATATTAATAATAATAAATGTGATTAAGTTTCTTACCTTTTTTAAACAAGATATCCCTTTTTGTTTTCCATAATATCTCTTTTTTTCTTTTCATGTAAGAATACTTTCTTTTTAAAATATTTCTATAATTTGGAATATAAAATTTGTAATCTTTAATTATTTTTAATCCTCCTTGTCTAGTTTTAGTCAATGCATTCCAATTTTTATACGTGAACTGAACAATATTACTCGCACTGTTATCACTTGTACGTACCAATTGGAGAAAGCATGGGATATTAGGTAATTGTGTTTTAAGGTAAACCCCTTCATATTTTGGGGTGTTAAATATTATAACTCCAGGATTCAAATTATTTGCTTCGGTTTTGCATGAAGTCTTCCACGTTAAATTTCCATTTTTGCATATTTCAAATATAATCACTTTGATATTATGCACATCATTGCTTAAAATTGTTATTTCATCATTCCCCTCCATATCTGAATAACTATTACATAGTTTTATAATCTGTAGTTCTTGATTTATTAGAAGTTCAGTAGTGTTATTCTCTGTTGTAAATGTCATAACTCGATTCCTAAAATTGATAACTTAGTTTTTCTATTCTGGAAATAAAATATAAAATAATGAATAATTGTTTTAACTATATTTAAGCTTATTGTGTAAAAGTCTCAAGTCACTATGTTCGTACTTGGTAATCTCTAAAACCACCCAACCGATTGAAATAAAATTTGATAAATATATAGGATTATGATATTTTATAAGTCTAAATTTATTGACAAATACAACAAATATATCCCAAATGACTGAATATTGAAATGATCTATTAGTGAATTATAATGATGTCCGTTTTTTAACAAAATAAAAGTGTTACTGAAACCAATTGATTATAAATAAAAACTAATTACATATATTAACTACATTCACAGCCACAGCCATAAACTTTATAATTTATTCTCTAAATATTAAGCAGTTGGTGAAAGTAATTGGTTTACTGTTATTGTCTCCAGAAAACAAATATTAGATGATTAAATGTAGGAACTTCCGTTTAACAAATCTAGCAGTTTATTACCTTCACTAAAACTAAAAAACGAATACGTAATAGCATTTCCTTTGCAATCGGACATTACCTAATAGTTAGGCTTATACTGAGATTATTAGTTTCAACTAATGATTTTTGCAGAAGGAGTTATTGAGCTCTACATTATTGTGCAGACTTTACATTACATTATTGTCAAGCTTTAACAAAGAGCCAGAGTACAGCTCTTGGATAATTTTTGTTTTGTTTATCTCTCAGAGACACGGTTGCCACTTGAAAATTTTTTTCTGTACCAAAATTGGTTTAAAAAGGTACCATTTCTGTAAAAAAAGGTCCAAAATTTTTTTGGACCTTTTTGTTTTCTCGTTCTGTGTTTTTTATAGTGTTATAAATGAACAAAATATAAAATAGTGCAAAGTTGCATTCATAAAAAAAATTAATTGGAAATATCCACAATAAAATTGGGTTGTCAAAAATGTACCAGTTTTTGAAAATCAGTACCAAACGAAAAAAAAAAAAAAAAAAGTACCAATTTTGGTACTAAAGTACCATAAGTGGCAACCGTGCTCAGAGATTAAAAACTGTTATTAAAGCCCAATAAAACTAAAGTGAGTAAATTTTGAAAAATGAAAGCATGATAGAAAATCTCAGTATATATTTAAATTATTAGGATGGGCACATCAAATATCAAGACTTTTAAAGAAATGGTCAGTCCCATAGGACAGTCTGTATGGAATCTGTCAAAGACTTGCTTTATAAACACAACTTAACTGTTGTGGAGAACAATACAGCACGGAGTTATTAATTATATGTAATGAAGATTTGAAATGAAATATTAAATTCCAATTACTATTTTAAAAGCAATATGTTTTTTATTTTACTATTATATGATCGATAGTTTCTATTGGTTTCAATAAAATAATAATAATTACTTTAAAAATTAATGTCTAAATAACAAATTATCTAGACTTTATGCAAGAGAAGTATAGCGTTCAAAATCGAAAAACAGTAACTTATAATACGAGTAGTTAAGTGGATTTATATAGCTGTAGTTTGTGCGTTTGACCTATATGTAATTATAATATAGAAGTAAAAGTGTTATTTAAATGAGAACAACAAACTTAATGTGACGTGGGTTTTATGTGTAAACGAGAACGTACAGGCTATAGTTCTACAGATCTGTAGTCTAGAAAATTAAATGTAGATAATATAATCAATTGATGTTTTCAAAGATTATTGTTCATGGATATTTGGCGGTATTTGCGATGTGCAATATTTAAAAATAAATTTATTTAGTTATAAGTATTGATATATTTAATATTTTATGTTTATATTAAATTTTTTTAAATAAATATTTAACTTTACATTTTTAAAATTATTAATTTCAATTCTTACTTGTTCCTGACAGATATGTGTAAAATATTTATAATGTAAAATTCACTTTAAATTCATTAAAAATATTTCATTATTACGCGATGATATTAAGGATTAAATATATTTTTATTAATTTATTGTAAAATAATTATTTTAACTAACACTGGTAATCTTCAAGTATTTTTCCTGCTAATATAATTCTTCCGTTGATTGTTCACTTTGTGTTTATAGTTATAGTTTTGAAATTTCAAGCCAAAATGATTTATTTGTTAATAAATTTTTATTTTAAATTTTAAAAAAGTTTATATTTATATTTCTCTTATAATTCTCTCTACATCAGCACAGCTTTTAAGCTCTTTTTTCCAGCTCTTTCTAAAACGGAAATAATAACTTCCAGGAATCCCGCAGTTTTAAATTGTTTATATTTATTTATAGATAAAATTATAATCACTTATGTATTAAAATGAAATTCACTTTAGTTAAAAAATAATAAAATACGGGTATATGTTAAAAATCATTCATTACTACATTAGTCAACTCTTTATCAATTCACGCAATCAACAATATACGTAAAGGTATGTGTGAATGTGTATATAAAAACCTATGTATATGTACTCACTAACCAATAATGTATTTAATCGGTATATTCAGAAAATGGGAGATCACCTAATATTTATATGTATTTTCAATTCTTAGTAACGGTTGGCCGAATCGGTATCAGGCGAAATTGCTATTGAAAATTCATGATTTTCTACGCATGGAGAGATTACATTGAATTGACTTAAATGTTATTGCATATTTATTGTATAACAATAGATAAATATTATTTAATATTTTTTATATAATATAAAAAAGTTTAGTTTAATAAAAATCAGATTATACGGACATCGTATAAGTATTTTTTGAGTTACTGAGATTTATATAACTGAAGATTTCTTTCGGATGGAGTATTAACTATGGAGTACATTTTCTCTTACACAATATAATTTTTCTTGTTCTTTACACCAAAGAAGATTGCAGACAGAGAACTAACAATATTATCTTTACCCTACCTGTACTTTTAATCAAGAAAATTTGCTTTTTGATAAAGTGTAAAGAACATATAGAGATCACTTCTCTTCAACCACAATTTTTTTGTTTTTTCGTCTAAGTACGGTTTCTTTTGAACAGAGTACTACATATCAACAATAGATCTATTATGACCAAAGAGTTTCCTTTTAAATGTATGACATTTGGCAGAAAACAGTAATTTGTATTATTTTCCAGTATATACATAGTTATAATTACATTTCTCTAAACTAATTTATTAGATGATAAAAAAATTGGAATTGATAACTGATTATTACATAGGGTTATCCTGTAACACTATCTTATTGAGTATACCCAAACAAGCAAATATTACACTTATATTTGTCAGGTATCACCATGTTTTTCTTTCTATTCGGAAGTACTGTGTATTAATAATGTATAACCACTATCACTACGAAGTTTTTTTTTCGTCGATTCAGGAATTGGCTCCAGAATTTGGGACATTTGGCAAAAAAATTTCCAATTTATTATTTGATATTTAGTTTAAATTGCATTCTTTTGATCTTTTGTACTTATAAGGTTAACTTTTTTTAAAGTAAGTATTAGTGTTGCTGAAAAGCTACGCTTTCTTTATATGGTGACAAAGTCATTAACTTTTTTTTAAATTTCACCACCAATGTATTTCATTTGATTAGCATTATTAGTAAGATATAAACTGACATATTGATGAACTAACAGTTAAATAGAAATACTTGCAGAAAGATAGACAGAGATGTTAAGGAAAGGTGGACTAAACTCTATATCAACAGATAAAAAATGAAAGGCTCAAGGGCTTGTATGATGTCAGAAGCTTACTTAGCATGTTAAATATATTGATAAGCCTAATATATACTTTATTAAACATCATATGTTAAGTATAAAACAAAAACGGAGTTTATAATCGTCATAAAACAACAATTATTCATGATAAATTAAGGCAGGAATATTTGATTGAAGATATAAACTATGATAAAAACTGTTATTTTTTTGAAACCTCTCAATTGTTTCTAGATATGGTTGCGAAAGAATGAAAGCATGACGGCAGACAGGCATACTAAAATCTCGCTCTTATATCTTAGATCTACAGTTATTAATGAGAATCCATGACAATTCATACATGTATCACAAACAGTACAATTCTGGTAAAAATCGTTAAAAGTCTTTTGAAGACCATATAATATAGAAGAAAGTGATGGTGAGAAGTGAACCTAAGATCAAAAAATCAATTATACTAGAGTAAGATTTTTCTGTGTAAATAATAATTGCTGACTTTATAAAAATAAAACACATCATCAGTGAAGTTTTGGAAACTAATGATTAGATTAATAACCTCAATAATACTGCGATTCCTTAAATAGTCGTAACAACTACAAATAAGCGCAATTTTTGGGATTAAATTCTTTATTTTAACAATATAATAATAAATATACATTTTTTATACAAATCTTCTCCTACTTTAATTTATACTTTAAATTACTTTTAGGTTTAGGTAGACAATATCGAAACAGGTTCTTGCAAGATTTCCTGAATTTTGGCTTCTGGAACAACTTCACCATTAACAATAAGTGTATGAACAATGCCATCATGTTTGTTGCCACTTGAACGTGCTTGTAAAACAATCTCGTTATCATTTTCATAGAATCTTGTATCTGTGCCACCATCGACAAATTCACTCTAATATTATCAAAGAAAAACACAAAGTAAATTACTAATTAAATAAGTTTATAGCTATATAGGTATTATACATTTACCGTTTCCTCTCGAACGTTATCATTTAAATACAAGTTTAAGGAATCTATATCAAGCATTATACGATACTCAACGTCGTTAAGTGTCACAAGCCACAGACGATACTGTTTTGTTTGTTCCTCTGTATATTGTTCATGTGGCTTACCATCAATAAATAATAGGTATTCATATTTAAAACCTGGTGCTGGATTGACTCTTATAATGCATCGCGATTCTTCGATATAAAAAGTATCCTCTCCTACTAATTTAAACATCCAATCACGTCGTAAAACTTCCTATACATTATTATATATAAATATTAATAGAATACGATTACTTATTTACAATTAGTGTATATATTTATTTACCTTTCCGTTTACCCATATCATACGTCTACCGCTTGTGGTGCCATGTTCTAGTTCAATGCGGTACATTTTACCATTCATCGGTGCACACCACTTAGCAACGATATTATTTTTATTGTAACGCTTTTCTTCTGGCAAATAGTCTAGACTCATTATAGGTTTGTCGGAAAGATTTTCCAGTTTCAATGATGGCGACAAAAAGGACATTTTAACATTTATTGATGATGGCTCAGAAAATATCTAAAATTAAAGTCATTTATTAATAAGATAGAAAAAAAATAAAAAATTTAAGCATTTAAGTTAATCACAAATCAAATTTTGAAATTTCAAAAGAAAACAACCTGATGAAAAAAATAGAATAAAAAAATAAATATTTGTATATATTAGAGATAAAAGAAATTTTTTTCCCACTAAAGTCTTATTAGCTGATATTTTAAATTGCACGATTATGATAATAAAATTTTCAACATTATCATTTTGCTTAATTATAATTAATGACGTTTATGATAGCGTTAACATTGATTACATTTGTGTCATACTATGTTTAGAATATCTTAGTAAATATACTTTAGACATGCATTAATATGAAATAGCTTTTTAACATATAGGTACTAAAAACCGAAATCTATAGAGATTTAAACTTTAAATGAAGTTATTAATTATTTGCTTATCACATAAGACGTTAATTGACAGCAATGAGTTGGGATGCAATATATGCAATCTCTCCATTTCAAATGTTCACTTAAGAGCTTTGCGTGTATATCCCACTCATATCTATTAAAGGAGTTATGATGACAGAGTATGTATGTGGCAATACCTGGCTTTTAAAGGTAATGGAATTGCAACTCTGAATTATAAAACTTTTGAGACCTTAATAATTTACATTTCAATAAGATCTGGTAAAATGATTGCAGAATTAAGAATATTTAATTAAACTTAAATGAACTTAAAATTACAATAGATATACAAATATATAAACAATATACAAATGTATATAATATAATATATAATGTATATTGTATAGTATTTAATTTACTGTTTGTTGTATAGTATTTAAAACTTTATTTGCAAATAGATTCCAGTAAAAATAACTGTCTCTCTAAATAATCTGCGACTCTCTTGCAATCAGAGTCGTAGCCAGTTGAACTTGAGCGACTTCCGAAATAAATAAATATAAATAATAATAAATAAATTATGGTGTTATATGGGTTAATGTTTAAAATTCTAAGTTAACTCTCCCTTTTTTGTGCTGTTAGTTAGCACTTTTGTTCGTAATTGTTGCTGTTTTTATGATATTGTATTATGTTCGTTGTTGATATTTGGTTTGTCAGTGACTGCACTGCTTCTAATCGTCATAACGTCTGCATTTTAGTTTCCACCTTTTTTGTATAATTAATATTCCAGACAATATCCAACACAGATCTGTGGATTTGTATAAGTTAAGGTAGTGTTACAGAATATATATATATATATATATATATATATATATACACACGCGAAAACAAATGGGGGTTGCTAGAGAAGTGCTTTAGAAGATTGCAGAATAATATTGTTCGACAACGTGGACAAACGCTACGTTTGGGGACCTGTAAGGTTTCACGCGCCCAGTATATAGCGTATGACAGATTAAAACAGTCGAATATGAATTAAAAAATGTAGATTACTTATAGAATAACATTATTAACTACTTCTACTTATAATAAGATTAGCAGTATATTTCGCTTAGTAGGACAGTGTTATTTAGTCCATTTATACAATATATGAAGATGCGAACTC